ATTTGGTTCCTAAGCAAGTTATCAGCCTATTCCCTAAGAAAATTTAATTCAGAAACAGAAATGAGCAGGTGAAAGAATATCTGGTTTGCTAATATTACTTCTGAAATGTATCTCAGAATAGCATTGACTGTAAATAAATCAACAATGTAGGATGGCTACACAATATTACTTAAGGCTACATCAACAGAAGCAGAGTTTCTAAATTATGGGAAGTAATTGTTGCATTTTATTTCACTTTGGTCAAACCACAGGCGAAGTATTGTGTCCGGTTGTGGGTGCCACACTTAAGAAAGATTCAACAAAAGAGGAAGCCTCTCTGTTCTTCCACACATTTTCTTACATTGCTGGGTAGAGAAGCTATTTTGAAATATTTCTAGCAGGGTGGATAAAAATTGATGATTAAAAAAAAATCAGATATTTTTGTATTTAAATCGGATATTTTTTATTTAAATTGGATTTTTCTTTAATTTTTATCAAATTTATTTTAATAAAATGCTTTTGGAATAAAAATCTATCTAAAGATAGTTTTCTATTTAAGATACATTAATAATTTAGTTTATTCAGCAGGAAATGGAGTTTAGTTATGTAGCACGAGGCTGTATATTCTGCAATACTGGGACTGTTGGTGAGTCCATTGCAGGGCAGAGATGACAGCTGCTCTTTAAAAATTATGATTTAAATCAAGTTGATTTAAATCAAGCCTTTTTACTAGCAATTTAAATCATGATTTAAATTGATTTGATTTAAATCAAATCCACCCTGATTTCTAGGGCTGGAGATGAGAAGCAATGTTGCATGCAAATGATGCTGTTCTGCAGGGATGCTATCTGATAGTAGCCATACTCACAATTACTAGTAACAAATGCATTTATCATGAACTGGTGACTAAATCATGTCTGGTAACCAAGCTGGCAGGAATAGCCAACACTCCAGAAGGGAGGCTAAAGGTACAGAAGGATCTTGACACACTTGAACATTGGCCACTATCTAATAAAATGAAATTCAATGGTGAAAAGAGTAAGGTTCTATATTTAGGCAACAAAAACGAAATGCCAAGGTACGGTATATGTGGTGCCTTGCTCAACAGTAGTAACCCTGAGAGGGAGTCCTAGTGGACAACCATTTAAATATAAGCCAGCAGTATGCAGAA